CTAATAACAATACAAAAAACAAAATTTCAGTAGCCATGCAAAAGAAAACATTTTGAAGCTTTGTCAGGGTGGTAGTGGGTTTTAAGATGAAGGAGCATAAGAAAAAAAAAATGTAAGGGAAGTTTCAGTTGTAATTTTTTTTCCATGAACTAAAGTCCTCCTCCACATTTTTTTTTTTTCTTGTCTTCTTTCCAACAAAGGCCAGCCAGCCTGCCTGCCTGCTTGAGACGGTTGGTATTTCACATATCTATCACATGTAAAGCTAGGTTAGCTATTTTTAGGGTCAGAGCCCCCCAGCAGCTGTTACATGCTGTCATGCTACCAACACCACCAAACAGAAACTCAGCATACAGGCAGCCATATCAGAGATCCATCTTTTCTTTCTTCCTTTACAAACATCTCAAAGTACAAGCAGTCCTTTTAGAGGAGTTTTATCCAGAGATAAAAGGGACATAACTAATCTCTTCCTTTTTTACCACCCGAAAAACAAAACAGTCTTGTTAAATAAGTACATTTTGCTATATAACGGAAAATGGAATCTGCAAAGTTCAAATTCCGGCCGAGGTAGAATTCTGGACCAGCCTTAATAGGTCAAAATTAATAATTTCTCCCTGGACAGTAACAAGTAATCACATTGCCCCCAAAATGAGCCAATATGATTCCTTCACCATTGGTTTATTTAAAGCAATGATTAAGTCTGGGGATTACGACAACCTTATATAGTAAAATGCCCAATAGGCAGCACAGTTTAGGACTATAAAAAAATGGTAATAAACCTCCTTTTTCTTTTGCTCTGGAATGTAGTAGCAAAAACAGGACTTTTTTTGCTGGGGGAAATTTCTTCCCTGCCAGCAAGGCAAACTACTCAATTTCAGCCAGCCATAGGACACATTTTCTAATAGGAAAACCTATGTATTTTGTTTTTCCTAGCTGTGTACATACAAGTATATTTTCTCTCTTCTTGAATTATGTTGTTTTTGACATGTCTAAAACACCTCCACATTTTGAAATTCATTTATTCTGAAAGTCTTCCTACTCCTGAGCAACAAATTGCAACTCCTTATTCCAGACAGGTGAGAAATAGTAACCTCATTCATAACAAACCTGCAGTAATGTTTTTCTTTATTTCTAAAGAATCTGAAGGATAAAGGAGTCTTCAACCACACCAAGTGATGCCACTGTAGTTTCAATACAAATCGACTATTTTACAGATTTAAGTTCCTAATTCATTGGCCAATTTGAACAGCCTTAATGGGTTCCAACTATTCTGCTATTTACCTACAGCTGGAGAGCTAAGTAGATTCATGCCTTTCAACCCAACACAAACTGTCGGATTGATCGATTTTATTTATTTATTTATTTATTTTTACAGTTTAACCATTTGTAGATTATTTAAAGCCGAAACATTTTTGGATTGTAAGAATAAATTTTTTTCCTTTTGTGTATGAATATTGTATTATAATGATTTTCAGATACAAGTCCTACTATTTAACCCATAGGTGGGAGGAGAAGAGGTAAATTAAATAGCAAGTCATCATTGGCATACTATATTAGAAGGACAATGCTGAATACAAAACTGCATGTGGCCCTAGCAGAGCATATACTTAAACTATCCACTCAGTATAGTTGCAAGCCACAGGTTGGATCTGTGGAAATTGAAGAAATGCAACTGTACCTGAGCAGATAGTTTTTTCTTTACCAGCAAACCTATAATAAAGATGAAAAATCACACTGATTTGCAGTGTGCCTCCAAATCAAAAAGATTTTATAAGTAAATTTTTTTTTTTTTAAAACCAAACATCAGATTTTTTTTTTTTTAATTCTTTCTTCATTGGGCCAAGAACTGTTCAATATCCCTGTTGTATATATTTCACAATACTTTACAATGCTACTTAGCAAACACTCTTGAAGAAGAAGAAGAAAAAAAAAGATTGATCTCTTTAACACCCAGAATAGCCATTTGAACATCATCTCCACCAAACCAAGTTTTGTCAATTGAGTAAACTGCCTGCTAAAGTTAAGTTTAAAGACAGAAAATATTTAACTGTAATCCAGATTTGGTTTGTTTTACAGCATATCAACCACAGTGGCTTATTTAATACCAATAATTTTTATTGCTGGCAATATTTTTTTTTTTTCCTTCAAAAATCTATTGCTGGTAATTTTTTTTTTTCAAAACATATTGCTGGTAATAATTTTTACAAAGTATTTCTGGTATTAAAACCTATTTTTACACTTTCATAGTGTTTTGACTACAGTTTTTTTTTGGGGGGGTACTATTTACCCATAGCTGGGACCCTAACAGGTGTTACCACCCTGGGTTTGGGAACACCAGCAATTTAAAGGTGGTTCCATGCTCCTCAAAACCTCTTGATCAGAGGCCTTGATGTTGGACGTAGTTTATTGTCTTATTCAGGATGGTTGTAATCCAGTATAATAGATGGATTGTTAAGGAAACTAAGACATAGGAATTATTTTATTAACAAACTTAAAGGATACTGTTAATTGTATATAAATGCATTCATTTTTAAATGCTTTATTGATTTTATTCTGCATATGTATTGATGAGACAAGACAGCAATTAATGGTTCTGTTGGTCATGTCAATAATGGACTTTAGTGTCTCCCATTTTCCACATTTTTGATCCAGCGTCTGTGAGGTTTATTTTATCAACAGAGTTAACAAAGAAATGGATGAGGAGAAGTCATTATTTACATTCTTTAGCTTTTGTTTATCACATTTCGGGTACTATACATTCCAGTTTTCTTCAGGATAATAACTTAGCAGATTAAAGTGTTGGATTGTGAATGTAATGGCATGGATAATCTCTTGGATTGGATAATACAGTCTAAGTAGAAACAGGGCAAGCAGTAACAGCAGTACTAAATAAAAACTAGAAGAGATATTCCTAGATATGGTCAGCAGAATTCTGTGGTGGATTGGCCAGGGTAATCAGCTTGCCTGATGGAAAGTGGGCCTATCATATCAAATAAAAATGCAGTAAAGAAAACAGAAACTGTTTTTGTAATAAAAAGGATGAAGAGCTTTATAAAGTCATCTGCATTTTATCAATTACTAAAGTCTAATCTGAGAGGACATTCTCAAAGCTAAAGATCATAAAGACAAAGGTTAAGAAATTCACTTTCTGGGAAGAATTTGGAATCAATACATGTTGCGATCCATTGAAAAGGAATTGTTTGATGAATTGGATGCAGAAGTAATTATTGTCAGATTCGCAGAAACATCTAGTGAACACAAATGATTACTCTAAATATAGTGAATAGCATGCAATGCCCTATTGTGCTTTTGAACTCTGGTAATGTGTAAATTGTGCAGTAAACTATTTAAAAATATCAACCAATTACTTAAAATAAAAAATTAAATTATAAAATTCCGTATTTACATTTGGTATCTACTGCCAGTAATATGTACAGTACAGGTACACTGTATTTATTAAGAAATAAACATTTTTTTTTCTACAGAAATTTCAGTTGTATTCCTTTTTTCTATATGTATTTTTAAAAAAAATATTATTGATTCACTATGAAAATTAAATATTAGCACTGTAGTTGTAGGTGGCCCCATTTGTCACCTGGCAACCAATATTTTTAGACTCAGTCCATCACTGGTGAGATGAGAACAATCTACACTTGTATATTAAATAAAGGGTTCAGTTCAAAATTCCTTGACAGTTGCCCAGAAAAGAAATCCAAAGGACATACCAGATAAAACATTGCCATAATAACGCCAAAGACGAGGGCATTAGTCTGAATGTAAATTAGAAAGTTTTCACTCATTTAAATGCATAACATTTTCAATATACAGGATGTTCCCCCAAAATTGACGACATTTAAAAGGTGAATACCTGAATAACTACATGTCCCAGTCTAACGAAATTAAATAGGCTTCATGTTGAACAATAAAATATTTAATTCGAACAAGATATTCAAAGGGACGTTAATTTTATAACTGATTGCATAAAGCTTCACAAATGTTCAATATGCATACCACCTGTGACACGACACATGTCAAGTTGGAAGTCTAGCTCTTGCTAAACACATGTAGCATGTCTTGCATAACATTCTTCATATATATATATATATATATATATATATATATATATATATATATATATATATACTTCCTTTTTTTTTTGTTGGTAGGATAGGACACAGGAGCAAAACACTAATTAACGACATTTTCTATTTTTGAAGGAAATGGACAAAAAAAAAAAAGACTTTCTTTTATGTATGTGTTCACATGATTTAAAGTCATGTGAACACATTCATATACTGGAATTTTCTTTAAGTTTTACAATTGAAATCATTTGCAGTGAAGTGTTTTAAAAAAAGAAATTCAAAAAGACAACTTTCATCGAAATTTTTAAAAGGTGATAATGGGATGTTAGAATGAAAATCTATTCTTTGTAACTTTGAGAAAAACCAAACATTTCAAGTTTTGAACAACTTTGTGTGTTTGATGTTTTTAGCACAACATTTCAGCTGATCCATTCTTCAGCCTTTATCTATAAGCGGGTAAAAAAAAAATTAAGACCATGGGCAGTCAGGGATTATCAAGAACACAGAGATGGTGTTCAATTATGTGGAATTGCCATTTTGCAAGGTGGAACAGATTATTAATGTGCAAAGAGAAAAATGCTCAAAAGTAAATCATTGCTGTGAATGCAAACAAGAAAGCTTTTTGAGAAAAAGCTTATTTGCTGAAGTTGGACAACACCATAAATAAAAATGGAAAATTATAAATTGTATGATATTCTAGGATGAGGAGTTATCATTTACATTGTGCTAATAACAAGATAGTAGTCTGAATGTAAATGATTTTCTTAAGAATTCCCTTACACAAGCAGGAATCAATTACAATGAAAAAAAATCATCTCTGAACTTGAAAACTGGGTCAATTTTATTTATGTTCAGATATGGATTTTCTATAGTATTTTTTCTGAATGTTTAAGGGAGATTTTAAGGGGAAACACTCATGGT